GTACCTTGGGAATCGCACCAGTGGAAATTCGTGTTCCTTAGACACAATTTGCAATTTTCAGTTCGCAGTTCGAATGGAGACTGCTGAAGAGTGGAAATAGATATACGACCTTACAAAATTTTTTAGTAGATTGTATATTTTAAAAAGAGAATTAGAAACAACTTTCCAAGCAAAATTAATCTTATTGGCCGCATAGCATATCTGTAAAAGTGGCATCTGGAAACCAGATGCATTTCTTTAATCTTGTTACAAACTCCAATGGCTTTAATGCTGATCGGAATTCATATTTTCGCCTTCAGTTACAATAGATAAATATTTTACAAAAGTTAAATCTCAATAAAGAGTCCTATTTTCTCTTCTTTTCTCCTTACTACATCTGGTGTCGGTCCATTTAGTGTGCAAGTCGGTCCAACTGGTCCTGACACCACGTAAAAAATTTCATAAGAGCGTATGCGGTTTTCAGGCACGCCAGTACTGGGGGCTAGGTGGGTTGTAGCCCCCCACTTTTTCGCTTAAATGTTTGTGGTTTCAAAGATAATGATGGCAAACTACGTAGAAACCTTGGCAAACTTCCCATTCTAAAATTTGCTCCGGCGTCCCTGCTAATGAGTTCGCGAAAAACCGTCGTTACATTCTACTATACTTGCTAATTAGTCTTAGATACTACAGGTACGATATCATGGGGAGCATGGCCATTACATGCAACTAGGTAAACAAATACAAACTCTTCACGTACACATAATAAATGTTACAAAAAAGAAACGAAATATATATTTATATATATACATATATATTGTACAGTTGAAGAGACGTATACACTAGTAAAAGAACTAATTTTGCCGACTAGTTTCAACTTTCTGTCGTATTCATGGCAATCAAATGATTCCAATTACATAAAGCATATCTGAATATAATCTATTTCAATGTGACGTTTTATTGTTTATCAATTGATGTAAAACCTCATCCCAGAAATAAAGTCTGTTTTCGAAATGGGGAAAATGAGGCTATGAAATGTACTGCTTTATATAGGGCTATTGAGTTGCATGTTTAACCAAAGCGGACTTTGGGTTATCAGTTCCTTTACCCAAAAGTCTACTCGTCGTTGCAGGCAAGAGTCTTTTCAGTGGTTCTGATTTACCAATATATTGTAATCCGCATTCTATACATTCCAGTAGATTGATCACATATTTATTTTTGCAGTTAAGTTTATGGCGGATCACGCGGATCACATAAGTACGCTTGGGTTGGTTACTCATGAAAGATGATGTATTCAAAACTTGCTGGCAACATAAGTGACCCTGTTTAGTATAACAATAACCTTTTTCATGACGGCTTTTAGATTTTGCTACTTCATTGTTGGATATTTTATTACTTCTAAGGATTTCCATTAGATTCTTGTTACGTTCATATGCTATCATCATGGGAGAATTGTTGAAGCTTTTTTGCGATTTTGGGATTGATGTTGAGGACGTTCCAGTTCTTACGTAATCTATTGCCAATAGGTGGAAGGGCTCTGTTATATATTGTAATAAATGGAGTTCTATTACTTGTTATCTTTTTGAATTTGTTTTAGTAGTTCTTTGCATGAAATGACGTCAACCTCTTTTTTTCAATGATTTCTCTATCGTATCCAAGTGATGTAAATGTTTTGACAAGTCGCTCTGTGTTATTATCATATTCTGCGTTATCGGAGCAGTTTCTCTTAATTCTTAATGCTTGGCTGTAGGCTAGGCTATTTTTTAGTGGTAATCGATGTTCAGATGCTCTATGAAGAGATTTCTGTCTGTCAGTGGATTTCCTATGTAGTCTTGTTTGTAATAGCTTCCTATTATCATGAAAATGATTATATTATCATTCAAAGCATTCCGTTCTTGAAATATACAGGGTAGTAGATTCCAGAATGAATTTATTTACTTTAAATGGCGATTTTTTGTCTCCGTACAAAAGAATCTGTCAAGGGACAGGATTTGGAACGTTGGAAAATTCAAATGAGACCCCGTTTACACTGTCCCGGGACAATTTTGTACCGTTACGGTTCGCAAGTGTTTACACTGTCGCGGTTCCAAATTGTTCCGTTTAGCCGTTACGTTTACACTGTACCGGTACGACCTTAATTTAATGGTAGAACATTGTTTAGAAGAAGCTGTATTTTTTCAACCAAGGCTTTTATTTTGCCGCCGAAGTCAACAATCGAATTTTTATTAAGAGATAAAATGGAGAAGAAGGCCGATAAAAACTTCCCTTGGGCGAACGAAAAGGTGGCTTTAATTTTCAGTGTTATTTTAGACTACAAAACTGCAAAGTCCAATCGAGGCTTGAACTGGGAAACAATACAAGCCTTTTCTGTGGTCGTCTTTTCTTCAGAATTTGACAACGTAGTTACGCCACAATCAAAGCCTCGATTACCTGAAACAGCCATACAAAAGACCCCTTTGTGAATCCGTGACAAAATCGTCTCGGATAGGTGTTTACACTGTCCCGTTCAAAAACGGAACCGTGACGGTACAAAATTCGTTCGCTTTCAAAGCAGGGTCAAAACTGTTCCGGATAGCAGAGCAAAATCGTCACGGTTCCACAGTGCTAGTGTAAACGGAAGGGCGAACCGCGACAGTTTTGTCACGTTTCCAAACTTGCACGGGACAGTGTAAACGGGGTCTGAGTGCAGTACCGGAATGAAACAAGCACGGAGGTTGATTTGATTTTGATTTGATTTTGATTTAATTCAAATTCTTCTATAGTATTAGAAAAGCTAGTTATATAAATTATAAAGTAATAAGTAATAACACCCTTAGCAAAAAGGAGACTTGGTGAGAATTCAGGTAAGGGAAAGGAACAAGAGATGGTATCTGTCAGCTCCGTATACTCAGTGAAAGAATGATCGAAAAAAAGAAGAAAATGTTTATCTGCTTCATTGATTACACAAAAGCCTTCGATTGAATCAAACACAATAAATTGATAGCAGTTCTTGAAAAATATGACATACCACAAGAAAGTAAAAGGCCAATCAGCAATCTATATTGGAACCAAACAGCAGTAGTCAGAACTATCAACGGTGAGGCAAGAAGTTTTAAGATAGAAACAAAAGGTGTACAACAGGGTTGCATCCTCTCACCAATTCTATTCAATATGTATAGTGAAGAACTTATCCGGGAAGCTTTAGATGACCCAAGAGGAATCAAAGTAAATGGTGTCACAATAACTAATATTAGATGTGCAGACGACACGATCATCATCGCAGAAACAGAACACGATCTCCAAGTAATGATAACAAGATTAAATGAAACATGCAAGATCTACGGGATGGAATTAAATGCTAAAAAGACCAAAGTAATGGTCATCGAAAATTTTCAGGGGAACAAAAATCCAAATAACATCAAGAAAGAATGTTTTAGAACAAGTAAAAAGCTACTGCTATCTAGGATCAAAAATCACAGAGGATGGACGCTGCACAGACGAAATAAGAAAAAGGACAGCAAGGCTAAGATTGCATTCCAACGATACATAGAATTGTTCAACAGTAACATCAACAGGAAAACGAAAATGAACCTCCTGAAAACATATGTCTGGTCTGTTTTTACTTATGGATGCGAAGCATGGTCTATTGGGAAAGAAATGATGGACAAGATTCGGGCATTCGAGATGTGGTGTTATAGAAGACTGTTGAAGATCAGGTGAACAGGTAGGGTTTCCGACGAAGAAGTGCTACGAAGAATGAATGTAACCCGTATGCTTCTTATCATCATAGCAAAGAGAAAAGCTGCACTCTTTGGTCATGTGGCAAGAGGATCAAGTGGAGCAGTTTTTTGTAACATCGTGGAGGGGTAAGACAAGACATTTACTATTATCACGTGTTGACTCATAGTATCATTGATTGACACTTTAAGTTAAGCCTTGTTTAGTCATGCTGTGAACACGCTTTATTGCTCTTACGCTGAATACGTAATGTTGCCTAGTTTTATATCCTGATCGTATAAGTCGTTTTGTTATGTTCGTTCAACCGTAGTTTATCTTTCAAGATACTCTCCGTGGAATTCTACTAGGTTATGGGCCCACTAACGATTTCTTTGTCGGAATTGTATCGGCATTTTAATACAGTTTACTGGAAGCTTTTTGAAGTCTTGTCGGAATCGATCACAATGGCTGGTGCAGGGGACATCGATTTCAAGATAGAAAAGTTAGCTGGTGAGAATTATCATAACTGGAAATTCCAAATGAAGATGTATTTAATCGGTAAGGATCTGTGAGAGATAGTAACAGGGTCGGAGGTATTGGACGAGACCGCGTCTGCACAAGAACAACGAATATTCAAGAAAAGAGAGAATCGGGCCTTGGCATGCGTATGTTTATCCGTCTCAACAAATCTTCAAATCAACGTGCGATCTGCTAAAACTTCGAAGGAGGCATGGGACAATCTTGCTAGTCATTTCGAAGAGAAGTCTCTTTCAAAGAAAATATTCTATCGAAGAAAATTGTATTCTGCGCGCATGAACAAAGGCGAGGACATGATTACCCATATAAATTACTTGAAAACTCTTTCGGAAAATTTGGAAGCAGTTGATGACCCTATCGCTGAGAAAGATTTGGTGATAATTTTGATAAGTGGCTTCCCTGAAGAATACAATTACTTAATAACAGCTTTAGAAACGATCGCTGTTGAAAAACTGACGTGGTAGACTTATTCACGAGTCTGATAAAATTCAGAATGGAAGTGCACAGGCTGGAAGTAATAGCTCTACCCAGGAAGCTTTAATAAGCAGTAGAGGACAAGATCAGAAGAAGCCTATGGACTTAAAAAGGGTTAAATGCCACTATTGCAAGAGGAAAGGTCACTTTGCGAGGGATTGCTTCTTAAAGAAAGCCGATCAAAAGAGGCCGCCAGCGCCGAATTTGCGAACAAGGTTGAAAATGTCTCCAGGAAGTCTCCGGAAGTTGCTTTAACAACAGGAGGTACCAGCATGAAAGGTGATAAATGGTGGATTGACTCAGGAGCCTCGTAGCACATGACGCCAACCAAAAAGGGAATGGTGGAATACGAGAGTTTTAGGACTCCTGTAAAAGTAAAGCTTGCTGATAACAGCACATTACTTGCCTATGGAAAAGGTAAAGTGGCTTTATTTGCATATGATGGAATACAAAAGGTTAACGTAACCCTACATGATGTTTTGTTTGTTCCAAGGATTCAAAACAAGTTATTGTCTCTGCCAACAATGACAGAAAAGGGGGCTGAAGTCCAGTTTAAAGGACAATTTTGCAAGATAACAATTGATGGCAAGTCATATACCATTGGCAACAAATATGGAAAACTGTACAAACTTAACTTAGAACCAGTTCAGAATTCTTGTTTTGGTTCAACAGTTGATAATCATGAAGTAACCACAATTTCTTACCAGTGGTAGCAACATACGAAGAGAACTTATGAGAGAAGTTGCAAACTTGCATGGTGCAAGAACACGTTCTTCTGCTAAGCTGGCTGAGCAAGTCAATGAAGAAAATGAAAACTGTTTCAGTGCTGATATTATAGCAGTTGAAATTGATGAGCCAAGAAAGATCCAGGATGCATGGACTGGAGTACATGCTAGTGAATGGAAAGAAGCTACTGATGCAGAATACTCGTCATTAATCAAAAACAAAACATGGGACTTAGTTCCAATTCCAAAAGGAAAGAATATTGTTGGGAGCAAGTTGGTATTAAAGTTAAGAGGAATGCAGATGGCTCTGTTGACCGCTTTAAGTCTCGCTTAGTAGCTCAAGGATACTCACAAGCTGAAGGAATTGATTACCAAGAGGTATTTTCACCTGTCATTCGATACTCTTCAATACGCTCATTACTTGCATTGGCAAACAAGAACAATTTAGAAATACACCAAATGGATGTTAAAACAGCATTTCTTCAGGATAATTTGGACAGTGAGATCTACATGAAGCAGCCTGAGGGTTATGTTAGTGCTGATAAACCAAATCATGTATGCAGGTTAAATAAAGGAATCTATGGTCTAAAGCAGGCGGCACAGTGCTGGAATGCTGCAATTGATTTATTTCGAAAGGATAATGGATACAAGTGTAGCACTTCTGATTCCTGTCTCTACATGAAATCTGAGAAGAAAGCTGATGGACAGGTCAACTTTGTCATTATTGCTCTATATGTAGATGATACTCTCATTGTGTCAAACAGCAATACCATGATAAATGCAGAAAAGAAGCTGTTAAGTCAAAAGTTTTAAATGGTAGACCAAGGAGAATTACACTACATACTGGGAATGTCTATTCACAGAAACAGAGCAGCTAAGACACTCACGATGAAACAATCTAAATATTTGGAAAATATTTTGGAGAAGTTTGATATGGAGAACTGCAAACCAGTATCAACTCCATTAGAGCCTGGCAGTAGGTTTGTGAAACTACAAGAAAATGAGACCCCAGTTGACGTTCAAAGGTACCAAATGGCAATTGGCTGTTTAACGTATGCAGCAACTGCCACTCGACCAGTTATAGCAGCGGCAGTGGGAGTTCTTTCACAATTTATGTCACACCCAAGCAAAGAGCATTGGCAAGGAGTAAAGCGTATATTTCGTTATTCAAAGGGACTGTGAACTATGGTCTTAAGTTTAAATCCTTCAGTGAAATGAATTCAAGCTTACTTGGCTATTCTGATGCTGATTGGGGTGGTGATTTGTCAACAAGAAAGTCAACATCAGGCTATTTATTCAAATTTTGTGGTGGAATTGTTTCATGGAAAACAAAGAAACAACCAGTTATTGCCTTATCATCAACTGAGGCAGAGTACATAGCTTTATGCTCTGCTACACAAGAGGCAGTCTGGCTGAAGAGATTGCTTGAAAGCATTGGTTTTGCACAACAAAAACCAACCACAGTCTATGAAGACAATCAAGGAGCTATAGCACTCTCAAAGAACACAAAGAACCATGCACAAACAAAACACATTGTTATAAGATATCATTATATCAGAGAAGCAATTGAAAAGAACAATATCATGCTTGAATATTGTCCTACAGAAGAACAAACGGCTGATATTTTGACTAAAGGACTTGCAAAAGAAAGATTTCAAAAATTGCGTTCAATGATGGGAATAGACTGTTGAATAAACTGATAAACCATAATGAAAGGGCTGTTTATTATTTGCTATAATACTTCTTTTGTTTGGCTTAATATATCAATATACATTCGTCAAGTGGGAATGACAAGACATTTACTATTATCACGTGTTGACTCATAGCATCATTGATTGACACTTTAAGTTAAGCCTTGTTTATTCATGCTGTGAACACGCTTTATTGCTCTTATGCTGAATACGTAATGTTGCCTAGTTTTATATCCTGATCGTATAAGTTGTTTCGTTATGTTCGTTCAACCGTAGTTTATCTTTCAAGATACTCTCCGTGGAATTCTAATAGGGTACATTGAAGGAAAAAGATCTAGCGGTAGGCAAAGAAGACTTGGATGGACGATATTAAAGAGTGCGTTAACATCCAGAATTATGGTATCCTGAAAAGTAGGTGTAGTGACAGGGTTTGTTGGTGGACCATGTTTAGCAACCTACGGATTTCTTAGAAGCTACCTGGAATGAATGAATAAATTGTAAACAAATCAACTAAACAACGCAACGATAGCAATAACATTAATTAAAAGATAAATCGAAGCAGAATTGTTTAGGAGGAGCCTTCAAAGTAGGTTAACTAACGAGATGAAGGCCCACCTTTTTTAAGCGATCTATTTGTTCATTTATAAACGTTTCTCGTTGAATTAAATTAAATTACTTTATGGGTTAAACAAGAAATTTTGCAAAACTCACTGACTTTCAAATAGTTTCTACTTGATAATTTTTCAAATAGTTTTTGAATAAAAACTTAGAAGAGGTAGTTCTTATTTTCTACAGGTAAATATAATTTTGCCCCCATATATCGAGTTGATCTCAAGCCATACTGTAAAGTATTTGTCGTAGTGAGGAAGAGATCACCACAGTGAATAGATGTATTATAGAAAAAGAGGCTATGGAAATACATAGGAGTTAGCTTATTGATTGATTCATAAACAAAAGATAATAGTTTCAGTTTAAAGACATCTGAGATTCTAAGTAATTTAAGTTTTTAAAGATAGGAAGCGAATGAGCTAGGAATTTTTTATGTGATATAACTCTAACAGCATTTATTTTGCAAATTGAATAATGGCTCAATATGTGAATCAAACGTTTGTCCCCAAACAATAATATCATATTGCAAGAAGGACATTAACAAAGCATTATTAACTGATATTAATGGAACTGTTTCCTAATTAATGTAATCCTAATTATGAAAATTAAAGAAATAGCAAGGGTCCTAGCAATGATTCCTGGGGTACATCATATGTAATCTTCAGTTGCTCTGAATTTCTACCATTAACAAACTGTGCTCTATCTGTAAGATACGATTTGAACCAGCCAAGTGCATTCCCTCTAATTCCATAGTGTTCGAGTTTGGAAAGCAAAATGTTATGATTTACAGTATCAAAGGCCTTTTGCAAGTCAATGAATATACCACACTCATACTTGTTGCTGTCAAGACTACTTTTAATAGCTTCAGTCATACTAATTGATGCATGATCAAATGAATGATTTTCTTGAAAGCAAAACTGTAAAGGATATATGATTTTTGAAAAGAAAGGTAGAAGAAAGAATGTGATGGAGATGCTGGTGTTGGCTGTCTCACAAGAGATAGATGAAAGCCATAAAAGCAAAAAACAAAATAACGAGAAGATAAGCTATAAACAGAAGAGCCGACATTAAAAATTAAAAATATAAAAAAAGAAACTTTTAAAAATTTAAAACTGTAGAAGAATATATAAATATTCATCATCACTTAAGGCTTTTCATCACCTAAGTGCAACACGCGCTAGTCTGACAAAGGAAGAGTTGGCCCATGTACAGGAGCAACTGCAGATTGAATGGAATCAACTTTACCAGAAAAGACGACGTGAACTTATTAGCATTTTGGCGAGAAATGGGAAAGAGTTTTGAGAGGATAACGCTGGTTTTCTCAGGACAACCGAATACCATGAGCATCATATATTTGATGGGAATGACTTGCCGTCCAAGGCCCCTGCGTCAGTCAACGAAGGATCATTATCTACTGATTCAGGGCCATTGAGGATTCGTGTTGGGGAAATGAATTGGCTGTCAGAGGAGGGACGCATTACGGGTAGGTTTGTCAGCACAAATGTTGTCAACCTTTCGAAGAAGGAGCTGTCGGAAGATGATGTTTCACTGCTATCCAAAGGCCTCAAGTTTTGCCCAACACCAAAGGAAATAAACAAAGCGGAACTGAGAGCGGACCTTGAGGAGTTTAAACGAAGAATGAGATTAAAATGGCATTTTAAGGACAACACTAAAACAGAAAAACAGTTATTTAGAAATAGGTCTAACTGGCAGCCCCCTAAGAATAACCTTCTTTTTGAGAACTATATTTCGCTGGTGGAGAATGAGGTGCTGTCTGTCTCACCGGAGGGTAAGAATTTTAGTAATCTCTCTCCTTCAGAACTCTCTTCACTCGATAAGCTTAAATGTGATAGGGACATAATTATAAAAGAAGCAGATAAGGGTTCAGCGGTTGTAGTTTGGGATCGGGGGGACTATATAATGGAGGCTAACCGACAATTAGACGATAGGCAGGTATATGAAGAGGTTGAGGTGGATCCCTCTGTAGAACTGGGTAAGACCATAAATGATGAGTTAAAAGAAATAAGGGAGGCGGACCCGGCGTTAGATGAAGTGGCTGGCTATTTAGAAGTAAACAATCCTAGGTTAGGTAGATTTTATTTGTTGCCTAAGATTCATAAGGGTCTTAGTAATGTAAAGGGGCGTCCAGTCATTTCAAATTGTGGTACATTAACCGAACATGTTTCAGAATATCTAGATTACCACCTCAACTCGTTGGTTAGCCAAAGTAGGTCTTATGTTAAAGATACAAACCATTTTTTATCTAGGATAGGAAATATAGGAACTATACCAGAAGGGGCAATTTTATGCACTGTTGATGTTGTGGGACTCTATCCTAGCATTCCACACGAGGAAGGTTTAGAGGCCGTAAGGGAGGCGCTGGATAGACGGGAAAATCCAGGCGTGGCTACTGACACATTAGCTGGGCTCGCTTCCTTAGTATTGGAGAATAACTATTTTGAATTTAATGATAGGTTTTATAAGCAGAAGTTAGGTACGGCTATAGGCACGAAGTTCGCTCCGGCCTATGCCAATCTTTTTATGACTAGGTTAGAGGAGAGGTTGATGGATACCTTCGCCGACAAGCCCCTTGTCTGGATGAGATTTATCGATGATATTTTCTTTATCTGGACACACGGGGAGAATAGGCTGAAGTTATTCATTGACCATCTCAACAGTAGCCACGAC